GTTGTTGAGACACTTTACTTAGAACAACAATTGTGAACCTCATGGTGACACTAGAGGAAAAATCAGGGATTTACTGACGTTATTATGATACACTATCTGGAAACCATGAATGTTTGTAAAGTTTCACAGCAGTCCATCTCATAGTTGAGGTATTTCAGTCTAGATCAAACTGATGGATCGAATGGCAGATCAATGGCTAATAATCAAGTGGTGCAAATTGTCAAAACATATTATAGGTCCAATTTCCAGACTATCCACACCATAATTGTTACCAGACTGGAGTGGCACTATGTGCAAATACTTTAGCATGTAATTGTCCAATAATGTATGCATGATTATGCTATTTCCCGAATTTTGTTATTAAAGGAATAAAGGTACATCTCTACATTTCCAGCTGGTGTCACTAGGGAAATATTTCAGGACGAGTTGTTTTATAATTGATGATAACCACCACATATCTCTGATACGCACAGGAATTAAGAGAGCTCATTACCGGTGCCGAGTTAACGCCTGGCTACCCCTCGCTGTATAAAGAGTACTTTTCAGTGTTAAATGAGAACCAGCTAACTTTCCGTCCTCATCAACCTTTCTGATGATACTGTTCCAGAGCTCCCTGCCTCCCTGAGCCAATTAATGTGTACCTGGACAATATTCATAGCTGCAGCCTCTCATACAATTTCAACACTTCTCAGGAAATCTACTGGAAGTGCTTCTGACTCCTCTGAAATCAATAGAGCTGAGGTGCCCTTTTAAGTCTTGATGGTGAACAGCGACATGTTTTTGTTTGATCTTTGCAATTTTATGAAGATGGGTGGGGAAAAAAAAGTGTGAATAAATTGGTGGTGGTGAAACATTTCATCAGGTCCTGTATGGTTAGGTGAATACGCTCGCACAAAATAAATGAGGCCATGTGTGTGTTCTGCTCCGGAGGCACAGTAATGAACATTGCACCATTTTTCTTCTGAGCCTAAATGATCTGTCACATGCTTAATGTAACAGGATAGACTTTGCAGAGCGACTAGCCAATACACTGAAACTGGTGAAAATAATTTGGTGTCACATGTATGTTTCTATCTGATAAGATACGAAGAATGAGTTCAAATATAAACAAGGTATTTTCAAATGTATGTATGAGGAAAGCTATTTATCCTTTTTCAGAGAATAGTATGTTGAGTTTATTGTTTTTGTTTTTTGTTGCTGTTGTTTTTAAGGGTGTTATTAGTGCTGGAAATAGTTAGTTGCCCACAAGACTGTGAGATGTAATTAATACAGTAGCCTAGAAAAAGCTCATACGGGGACCTACAGATCATTTTGTCACACATACTAATCCTGAGGTCAATAATGATCTTCTAAGCACAAATGAATTAGTTAATGAAAAGGAAATCAGCCCTGTGAGACTATAGTGTTGATTAGGATTATTTAGTCAGACTACTTTTCCCAAGGTCAGTAATGAACCTTTACGCTCAAACTTTGTATTGCATTAGCATGTTGGCAGGTATCACCCATACAATTACCCTCTAAGATGCTAATGTGTAGCATGTTAGCATGCTAGGGGAGTACTGATATAAAAACTATAACTTAAGAATAACGGGCTTAAGTTCAGTAGTTTTAGAAATGGTATGAAACTGAAACAAACTGCCTGGAACTGCCTGTTAATACTGTTTATTTTGTTATATTACACAGCCTTATGCTGGTTTACTGTTTACTTGCCCCTTGCATGGGGATATGTACATGCACATTGAGAGCGGCTGTACCAGAGTCAAATTCCTCGTGGGTTCGACACACCTGGTCAATAAAGCAGATTCAAAGTCTGACCTGTTGGTGGCACTACATGAAAAGTCATCCACTGGGGAGCATGGCTATATGCGTTCATCTTTTGGCTTTTGTATTCTGGCTCCTTTATTGATTGGTTGTTGCAGCTTGTTGAGCATGTTTATTTCTTGACGAAGGTCACTGCTACTCTTTTAAATGTCATGGCTTACCAATATTTCATCTACAATGTAACTGATAACATAATGTTAGTGAAAATAGCCCTTATTTGATGTTCATTTTTTGACAGATAGATACAGTATACAATAGATAAACTGGGCAACTGAAGACATCTTATTCACTGCAACAAAACAACAACTAGTGTTTTAGAAATAAATATTACTTGCATGCTGCTAAGAGCCCGAACACCATGACAGATATTCACTGAGGGGCAGTCTAATACAATGAACGTCACTCCGTCACTTGTTAAGTTGAATTTTAATTTCTGCAGTTTGGACTCAAAGAATGAATTAATTCTAAGTGTTTATGTTGAATGTGTGAACTGTCAGCAGTGTCTAATGTTCCTCAAGTGTTAATTATCAGTTTGTCTCAGCTTAAATCTAGAGTGGAAGAAAAAACAAAAGTGGACTTCTGTAAAAGTCCATTCGTCTCGTCTCATAGTTTGCTTACTAATGAAGTAAAAGGCTGCTACTGCATTATTAAGTTAAATTAAGATGGTGGATTTATGTGATGGAAGGTTTGTGGTGCAGTGGGTGGACTGAAGGCTCGGGGAGGATGACGTGCTGATGTATGTTGGAGAGGCAGAAATATGCACTGCAGTTATGTCTCGGTCTCCTGTGTTCACAAGTTCAAATATTTACCTTGGATTTGGTTAACTCCTGTCAGCGTGATGTGTTGATACTTGTTAACAGAGAAGCCTATGATTTAAATACATTATGTCCAGATGACATCATTGCACTGTTTACATTTGGCCTTGTGTGTGCATGTGTTTCCATAAACTAATCAACTCTTTCACCACTAAAAGGAACATCCTCTGAGCCCAGGCGCCGAGGTATTTGCTGAGGCAGGCTATTTAACCTGCTTTCCAGCTCACTCTATTAAAGTGCTACACAGACCGGCACCTTTGTTTGTCAATGTGTTGTTTCTAAATCAATTTAATTTGTGAAATGCACACAGCAATAGAGACTGTCTATAAAGGAGCCCCTCAGGAAGTTGTATATCCTCTGATTAAAAACCAGAAGGCTCCTTCCTGTGTATGGAAATAAAATGGCATTGCAGTGTAAGCTTAATAACCAAGTATAATATGTGGAAAATTAAGATCAATATCAGAAATTTGAATTAAAAATAGTCCTTAATACATGCAAATTACTGAACAAGTGTTTCCTTTTTAACTTCCGACCAGGGGGCTCTGGACTTTTTTGTGTCTTACATGAATGCATTTTATGATATTATTGCCTCTGGTTCATTAGTTTGAAGATGAAAAGGACTCATTCTCTTTTCAGGCACATGGCGCTGCTTTGAGATAACTCCATTGTACAGCCACTTTCTTCGTCTGTATTTGTGTTTGTGGTGGATCGTCTCGCATTTGCATGAGTACACTTAGATATTCGTTTGTACAGGCATCATCTGGAATGCATTTATTTTGTTTTGTAAATTTATTTTCACTCTGAAATGAACTGTCTACCAGGACAAGTCTGACTTTGCAGTTAAAGTTGAGACAATTTTAGATATAATAAATTAATGCGCCCAGCCTTTTGTGCACATTCAGGACTGGCGGTATCTATTCAGCTCTATAGAACTTTCACTTTAGGAAAAACATGTTGAACACAAGTAGGGTGTAAAGAGAAAGATGTGATTTTAGTTAAATCCAGCTGATGCGTATGTGATAACATTGTTTGTCCCATCATTACCTCATGCCACATATTAAAAATATAACTGGTATTTTTTCAGATGTATCCGGTTTTAGTGAAACTATATAATACAGTTACCCCAAGAATCAGCTGGAGACAGAGCCTGTCTCTGAAGCTAAATATGTATATATGCATGCCATAATTAAAAACCCCAATGGTTAGTGGGGAAAAAGGTGCAGACTAATTAAGTACGCCTTATATTGTGCATGTCAAATGGGATCTGAGCAAACTAACCAGCTGAGACATGATGGTCAGTTAATCATATACCTGTAGTACAGCCCGAGAACATACAGTACTTCATCATTTGTTCCATGATTTGTTGTAACATTGCTCTGTGGTTTGTTCTGTTCCTGCCACATTGATAGCACTGCCCGCATGCCAGCAGGAAGCATACAATTGGATATAGTGTAACACCATCAAGACTTCTTGGACAACATTTGTAGACTTGAGAGAAACATTTCAAAGCAGTGCATATTTAGTTTTATTGACAGGAACCTTGGACTTGAATTCTTTAAGTTTTGCACACACTCAGCAGGTTAGAAACAGAGAATATGGACCAGAACGGTGTCTTGTCTGTATTCAGTATTCAACATGGACTACCTAAATAGAAACCTAGTAAAGAAGTTGTGGAGCAACACAGAGGTGGATGGCAGTAAAGCTGTGGGCTTGTCGCTTCTTGTGAGTGCCTTTGCTTTCACCAACCGACACAACATTTTGTGCCTGCATGTAGCCTCTCTGAAGGCAGCTGGTAACCCAGGGGCTGTGTCATAACCCGTGTCATCTGCGCTGTTGGCTGTGATTGTTTGCATGTGAACATGAGTACACCGCTTCATGGAGCTCTCTGTTCAGTACCAGGGTTCTGCTGCCAGCCCACTACTGCAGCACGGAGACGTACAGCATCTTACAGGTTTATGAGTAGAATCAAACTTGTGATCTTAGTGCTGACATGGAACTTCGGTGTGTGTGTGTGTGTGTGTGTGTGTGTGCACAATGTGGTAGCACCACCTAAAAATAGAGTGCCTGTGTATGTGTAACCACTTAACACATAGTGAATTGTTAAAAGTAAAAACGTGGATTACCGAGAAGCGCCTCATTGTGACCTTAATTGCATCCACGCTTGTCAGAAAGCAAGTTAAAGGAACATTGAGAGAGGGAACTGTCTATATCTGTATCAGCACCATGCATTTCACATGAGCCCCTTGTCTGTGGTGACAGAAGTAAACCCAGTGCGTGATGGATGCAGAAATATGCCTAAGAAAAAGCATCTGTTTAAAAAAGGTAAAATGGCCACTTCAGTGCCTGTTTCATTCTTTTCCTCACCTGTACCAATCCAGCCCTCTGTCGTAGTTTCTGTCGAAAAAGTGCGGCTCTGTTCCGAGTGCGCGCACATCTGGATGTATCCGGATGAACTCCAGCACCGCCCTGGTGCCTCCTTTCTTTACACCGATTATTAAGGCATTGGGCAGCTTCTTATTCCCATATTTTTGTGCAACGCTCACGTTTCTCATCTTCACGTCAGTCCAGTGATTTCCAGACGAGGCAGGGGCTTTACTTTGGTCGCGGAGATCACTTGATCCTGGCAGGGCAGCAGACACATCCAGAGCAGACCTGAATTCCAGCGAAGCGCAATTGTCTAATTTTCCAAGAAGTTTCTTTCCTCCTGCGTTCTTGTTCGGGGGGCATCTTTTCCCCTCGTAACCCTGGTTTGTCATGATTGTGCTGCGACAAAAAATAATACTATAGCATAAATAGGTGCACGACAGGGACACAGTGAACAGGAAGGCGAATCTTGCGCTGAATCTGTTCGTAGATGAGAGGAACCTATGTGCCATGTCTCCATGGGTTCAAAGTGCTGCATGATTTTCCATTGAAGTCTTCCTCTTCTCTTGGTCTGAGGTCAGAATCTGGCAATAATACAGGATCCAAAGTCAGACAGGGAGGATAGGGGTGGCTTCTTGGAGGCATCAACTGCGCATAACTCCCATCATTTCTTTTCATAGGCTGCTGAACTGTGAGAGAAAACTTGGAGCGGGATATGATTACACAGAGAAAATGGGCCAGTCCGCATTTGAATAAGTTGTTCTTATGTAGTTTGAAGTGAGTCGTTTGGATCAGTTGCTGAGGCCACTGTCTTAAAATAAATCTCAAAGGATTTTGCTGCCCATCTTCATCCTTCTTTTCCTTGTTATGTGTCGACTGAGAGAAAAGTCCAACGCGTCCTCAGTGTCCCTTTCAACTCTCACCAGCGCTATTGTTCCGCTCTCCTCAGAGGGGATTTCGACGATCAGCCCACCTTTCCCTTTCATAATGAAGTTGTGAAGATGTATGCACTTAGGCTACAGTCCATAAATATTTAATCAACCATCTGACGTCATGCATATAATCATAATTCAAAATGCGTTTAGTCTTTTAAAGGAACATCCCGACTAATATGGGGAAGAGCATATTTAGAGATTTAAAGATGTTGAATTTGACTTTCTGAGCGCCAGTAAATTATAGGGAGGATCGTTTCAGCATTAAGCACATTACTTCAGGAAGTCAGAGTGGCAGTATGTGGCTTAACTGAACCTTATGACATGCTGTTGTTTTGTAATACATTTCCTGCTGTGTGCAACTTGTCTGCTCTTTGAAAACAGCAAGATTTGTCAAGGCTCAGCATTATTTTTTACAAGTTGAGTATTTTTCGTAACAGTCGAAAGTCAAGCACACACCTGATCCTCTGTGTTGCCATGATGCAAGTTGGATGCAGGCTGGAATGTGAAGGTTCAGCGTGCAGTGTGATGGTTAAAGCTTGTTTCATTATGCAGGAGTGAAAACTGTAGCGTATGCAGTGTCTGGACGAGCAGCTAAGTGTTTTCTACTTTTTAAATGTAAATAAAATGCATTATCATTCCATTTCTGTCCAGTGAACTTGCGTAGATGTGTCTGAATCTTCCTGTTTGCCTCACTTTGCCATGATGTGTGGGATCCATTTGCTGTGCAAGTGTGTTGGGTGGATGTCTTTTGAATCACCGCCTTAGAAACAACAACAATGTGAAGCAGTTATAAGTGGATTCAGAGAACCCAGAGCAAAGTTATGTGTCTGTACACACTTGCAACTTCAAGGCATGCAGTTCTTAAAAAAATGAGGGAAAAGTAAAAAGAGGAAGACGGATTTATAATGATAAAAATGTATTTATACTGCATTAGATAAAAGTGAAAAACAGAAGGTGCAGAGAGGTGAAGGTGAAGCCACTCTTAGACAGAAGACACTGATACTCAATAACCAGCCTCTGCCTCCTTCTAACCCTGTTATATCATCTTCACTCGTTGCTCTTAAAAGTCATTTTTGACAGTGAAACATCAGCAGTCTCCTCACATTACCACGAAAGATCTACAATAAAACTATAATGAACAATGAAACGTAAAAGGTTTGGCATCTCCTTTCTGGATCATTTACATTTATTTATTACAAATTAAAGAAGGATGTAAAGCGGTTTTATGCTGCACTTAAAGTGAATCATTTTAGAAGAACATTCGGATGTGCTTTATGAATAGTGTCACATTATACAAGTAAAATATCAGATTTTCAATGATGCTTAAACAGTCAACAGTCTAGGCTCCCTAGAGTTTACTGCCACACTGCTGCACTGTACTTCAGGAAATAAACAAGTGGCAGTTTTATACAATACTAAGGCTTATACACCAGTGTTTATGTTTGTTTGTCTTTTTTAATGAATCATTCATCAGGCTCATTGGACTGGCAACCAGGTAGCATCATTTCACCTGAAGCACATGTTGAATGATGTCAGGGAAAGTGACCAGCTCCAAAGGTTTGATGACATACAGCCACATGGTCCTCGAGTCCTCTGGGTCGCTCCTGTTTTGCACATCTTGCCAATTTAGTTTCAGTTCAGAGTTTTAAAAGTTAAAAATATGGTATTCGTCTAGTGTTATATGATTAACAGTAGCTTGTGTGGATCCCATTGAGGTCAAAATGACAAACGAAGCTGAAATGTTGGAGCTCAGATCATTTTACAATTCATCAGTAATAACAGGAAACACAAGAAACTTTTGTTTTGATGTGTCACTCATAAGAGGTTGGCCCTGGACTGCAAGGACGTTCATATTTAGACAGTGTTGGTGTGAATGAATATTGGCTCAGAACTGAAATTCAAGGACATGTAAAGAGAGAGAATTTTGAAAAACACTGCATCATTCTCACATCCTTATTTTTTTTTTTAAATCATGCTATTCAGGACTGAGTTAAAACAAACGACCATACACCTCCAGCCACATGCTCACAGATGCACAGCACATATCACATCAACATCACTTTTCTGGAGGCTTTACATTTTCTAAAGACCCTAACCCTTTCCACTGAGCGATAGAGCAGAATATTGTAAGATGTCATGTATGCAGATATTCCAGAATTTGCTCTTAAACTACAAGCTTTTGCGGTATGTGTTTGTCATACAGTTCTGAAAATGTGACATTTGTAGGGCAGCATTCTGACATTCAAGCTGTGCCTTGTACACATCCTGCATCACACGAAACACAAACAGCATCATGTTCTGCATCTAATCTTTATATGATAAATTAATATTTTATCAACAGTAACAATGGGCACCTTAAAAAAACCCTTTTTCCTCTTTTGGTGTCCACTTGCAGCTGTGTACCTCACAAACTACAGTATCTTTCTTTGCTGCTATATTGATACAGCTATGTTTCCAGCTGTGCTCTGGCTGAGTTCATGTTTCAGGCAGAGAATACTGTCCCAGAGGATTCAAATAATCTCTCCCTTTTAGCTTGATATAAACCACTGCGAATAAGCAACCTTGCTAAGCTTCTGAACAGCACCACAGTATAGTGTGCTATGGTAATGAAACACCTCCCTTTCTTCTCGCTGTCCTCCTTTAATGCCAAGGATGTTCAGATATCCCACATGTTCTCTTTTGTTTCTTGCTATTTAGGTATTCTATGATCACAATATCAGTGGGGTATCAGGGCTTGACAGCATATTCCGCCCACTCTGTGTTGAAAACCTGGTGTTGCGTGGTACACTACTGCAGCTTTGTAGATAAACTTGAAAAACATGACAGCTTAAGGACAATTTCTTTGAGTAAAAAGTTTGACAGCAGTGATGAGTTTTGGAATTCAGTTATACAGTAAAATGTGTCATCTGTGTTTGTTGTAAACACCCACTCAGTGTTTCCTATCAACCAGCTGTATCGTCATGACCTAAAAACATCCAGTGGAGATAAAGTTAGTCATAAGCTCAAACTTTACCCCAATTTAAGCCAAGATGCTGTAAAAGGAAGCCAAAATACAATTTTTCATACAGTCTAAATAAAGTTACCATGTTGTGTAATCATGCTGTAAAACAAGAATTAAAACACAGACACTAAAAATTTAACATAAAACATGGAAAAGAAGACCAAGTGGCACACTTCTGCACTTTATTAGCACTATAGGTGTGAAAGGATTGTTAAAGAACAAGAGGGAACACAAAGCACGAAGGGAGTTACACTCATGTTTTGTCGCTTTGAGACTATGCTAATGTTTCTTTGTCAAACAGCATAAATATCCTGGATGTTTATTCCACTCCACTGAATCTAGAACAGTCTTATCCAACTGCTCAGCAAACCCACTTCAGCAGTAATACAAACATGGGCTGCTGTAAATCAGCGATGCAAAGAATGCTCTTCCTGTTTTAGTTTTGATTTGCCTTTTTCTTCCATCAGTCACTCCTGCACATTTTTAGTAATTAAACTAGACCCCAAGACTGAGGATGACAACTTAGAAGACAGTACAGTAAAACAGCTTTCACACCAACAAAGTGCTTTCACTACAGCCATTACACTGGCCCATCAAAATGAATTTCAGAATGAGATTACATTTTTTGCCTGTAGGTCTTTATGGACAGAAACATGCCATTCTGTCAACACACTTTATGAAAATTATTTGGGTTTTTTTTAAACTGTTTTATTTTCATCTGTTATTGTACATTTCTGTGAGTTAACAACTGTGACATATGCATAATTAAAGAACTGTTTTCCATTGTTTCAGGTATCTCATAACAACACTACTGACAGGTACACATGTACTGTATTGAAACAGTTTCGTCTTGATGCAATCCTTTGTTTTCTTAATATGATTTTAATCTAAATGCCATTGGGGAAAAATCCACAGTCCTTGTTCTTTGCAGAAATACATGTCAGTTATATATATATGAAGTTCAACTGCAGCAAAAGGTACCCTAGGGAGAAAGCTAGTTTGGTGAACTAAAGCTACTTAGAGAAAGTAGTTCAAACTACTTTGGACAGAGAGAGACACAGAGCTCAGAATGACAATGTGCAAGCGATACAATATAATAATTCATATAATACAGTGACATGTCAGCAAAAAGGCCACTCAGTCGAGTTTATTACCTGAGACCTAAACCTGCCCTAAATAAAACAATCATATCTGGCTTCTCACAAGGACACAATGGCAAGGAATGTTATATTTTTGTTGTAAACAAATCAGGATTGTGCATTATCCTACTACAACTAAAACAGTAAAGAAAAAATGATTTTGCATTTGGCTGACTTGAGCGCTGGTCAAATAAATGGACCTTTTGTCTCACTTGTCAGCTTTGTAATATCTGACTTGTACAATCTTAACAACTGAAACAATCTTCAACTTGCAGCCTTCTGAACAGTGTGAACAGCTTGAACACGTCTAAATAACTGGCCTATTTTTTTTATTTGTCAGAACAAAATCTCTCATTTATAGAACGCATGAGCCGTCTCTCAAAGTTCTTATCCAGCAGGCCAAAGCTTAGAAGCTGCTCGCATGCAGCTTGGTTTAAAAAAGAAATTTCTTACCTTTTAAGTCCTACTTGAATCACAATGCAAATATGAATATACAGTAGTTGAAACTACCCACACCCTACTGCAAAATGTAATTAAACTATTAGTCTGATTACATGTAGATCACTACTCCACTCCACTGAGTCCTAAAGATGGAAACACTAAGAGGAAAGCTTATACTGACAAGACTACAGCCTTAGAAGATACTCAATTTATTTAATTCTTGAACTGCTGAAGCCTCATATTAGCTACAGATAAAGTTTAGAATATATTTTTGCACCAAACATTGAGTGAGGATTTTGTCCTATCACTTATAATGGAAGTGAATTTAATGGCTAGTATAAACAGGAAGCATGATTACAAAGCAGAAACTGATTTAAGGAACATATAGATACAGTATGTGAACATGTTTTTTTGACAGACTTTTTTTAAACATCAAAGCAAAATTGATCCAATTTTATCTCAGCAGTCTACAGAGAGTTCCTTGGACGTTTAGTGTTTGTCCTGA